GCTAAGTCCCCGTGACTCACAGATACTTCCAAACCAGTTTGCAGGTGCCGATGAGTCCTTGCAGATGACGCAACCAAGCTCAGGAGGAGCTCGATGAAGATCTTGTCCTTTGTGTTGTTTTGTTCTAGTTGATCAGTAGTGGAGCCCAGTCGGGGTCGATCGGGGACCTTGTCGCATTTGGGGTTCTTCTTTTATTTTGGTTCCGTAATCGGACCTTGTGTGTATCTGGTTGATGTAATGCTTTATTCATGTATTTGTGTGAAGTGGCGATTGTAAGCCAACTATGTATCTTTTCCCTTATTGTATTACATGGGTTGTTTGCGAAGATTACCTCACTTGCGACATTGCTTTCAATGCGGTTATGCCTCTAAGTCGTGCTTCGACACGTGGGAGATATAGCCGCATCGAGGGCGTTACAAGTTGGTAATCAGAGCCTTCCCCGACCTTAGGAGCCCCCACTGCTTGATCGTTTTTAGCAATCGTTGTTGAGTCTAGAAAAATGTTTCGAGTCATTTAGGAATTATATGTCTGAGAGTTTAGGAATTCTTTTTACTCCCCAGTCCCTTCATCACTCTGGTAAGGCATCCCGACGTAGAGTTTTGACTCTTCTCTTCTCAAATTTCACTAAACAAAATTTAGGATCACGCGAGTATCTTGGAATCGTTCCGATCAATTTGTGACGAGAACATTGTTCTTGGTGCCTCCTGTCATTTAGGGGTTGTGGCAGTGTCCCGGGGAGTTGAGCTCCGAGGTGTTGTCGTCACAATTTTATCATTGCAGTTCTGGAATACCTGAGTTTAGTTCGCCAACATCGAAAATCTCTTTTATGCAGTTCTTGGTGAGATAACCTCGACGCCACCCAGTACTGGGGCGGGAGTTCGGGAGTATTGCCATAACTCGTATAACGGATGCTTTTCGAAGGTTGAGGTAGATGATTTCCAAAGGTTTCTTGGTTATGTGTTGAAGGATGGATGCAGGTGGATGTAGGATTTGCTAGTTTTGGGTGAGATATTATGCTTCCCCTGTATCCCAACACCTGATTGCATAACCGGAAAGTTTCGGGAGTTTGTAAGTGGGAATTCAAGTAGCTCTTAGGATATCTTTTTGACAGATGTATGATATGAAATTGGGGTTCGACGTCTAGTGGTCCGCCTATTCACGGTTGGTTTTACAGTGGTCTCGTTGTGTCTTAAAGAGTCCTTGGCTATGCCAACTCGGGGACGCTTCGTATGTCATGTGCACTGCCTTGTACATGATGGTGCTGTACGATCGAGCCCGTGTAGGCCCCACCACGAAAACTTCGGATGAAATCTCTATCATATGTTTGTTCAGGCTTATTTTGAAAGCCAATCCTTTGTTTTGTTTTGAGTGGTGGTATTCGAGTTGCTTCAAAGTCAAATGTTGATTCCATACTTTTCCTAAGCGGTGTTCTCATACTCCTATGTGAATACTAATCCTTCTTGATCATCGAGATTGTTTTTGTCAATCCCTTTTAACCGGTGTGTCTCTCCTCAAATGGATCCGATCACTTCAACATTCGCAAGATCTATTATCACTTCTTCTCAATGGTGTTTGTTTCATCCATCGCCAAGTTGCCTTTGTTTTTCCCGCCCACCCACCCTTTTTCTTCGAGGACTCGAATTTCTTATTCAAGTATCCTTTTATTGATGGGAAGTCTGTCCATTCTTTTCCTTCAATGTTCTTACCGGGTGATTCTCATGAAGATTCTAACGGAACCTCATGTTCATCATTTTTCATTCTATTTCTTCTCCGGTGGAACCAATTCAAGCTTTTGGTGTTGATCTCATATCCCTTTTTCCTCGTTTCAAATACCTTCTCATACCGGTGCACCTCATAATAATTCACTTCTCACTATTCTTTTGTTCCGGAGTGCTGAAGATATCTCAGAAGATTCGTATTTTCATTCCTAATTCGTTCAAGATATCTCGAGGTTGTTATCTCATTCTAGCCATTTAATTCAACTGGTGCATTCTCTCTTTTAAATTGTTCTACAATGTTTCTTTTGAGTGGGCCCTAACCCACAGGTCTTTTCCCAGGATCTTACCTGACTCTTCTAATTTTCCAAGAGCTATCCTCAAATTTCATTTCGTAGTTTGACGTAAGAATGAATTATCATCAGTCTTATGTTTTTCCCCAAGACCTTTCAAATTCTTTTCATCGTTGGATCAACCTTTCCATTCTTCATTCCGGAGTGCCTCAACAAGTCATGATGGTATTTCTCGTCGGCATTCTCAGTTTGGAAGACCGAAGAAGATTCTTCTTTCAACCTTGCTCCATTCTCTTCAAGACTCGTCACTCGAGATTGTTGCCATCCTCTCATAATTATTTTCGTTTGTCAGAATTCTTTCTCACCCATTCGGAGTAATTCAGGAGTCTTTTCAGTTTGATTCTCCGAAGGCAATCACCTCAGAAGTATTCATTCTCAGCTTTCAGCAATCATTCTCCAAATCATACCGGTGCTTAAATCAAGGATTCTCTAATCAGCGCGTAATCTCTTCATTCTCATGGATCTAAATTCTCTCAAGCATCTTTGGTTATTTGTTAATTCTTCCCGGTGCTTCTTTATTTTTCTTCTTCTTTCATTTTCAATTCTTACGGTGGTTCTTTCAAGAGTTCCTCTTCCTTCGTTTATCATATTAATTCATTCGTTGTTCCAATCCTACCGGTGGTTCGTTGAAGACGTTCTCAAGTTTTGATATATCTCTTTTAATCCTTTCTACGAGAATAAGTAGTATGCCAAATCCATTGATTGTCATCAATTTAATTTGTCAAGGATAAGCATAATGTAATTCTTATTCTTGTTTCATCCAAGTGATTAATTCCTTATTCCGGAGGTGCATCATATGAAATTCTGGGTTCGAGATGCTTTATCTTTTCTTTTCCCGGAGTTCCTAGCTCTCGCAATTACATCATCACGGAGATTCATTTAAATCATTGCAAGTCTTCACCTTGTGTTTCCATCTTCTCTTGCCTTCTGTTTGAGCTTTCTTTTGTTTAACGGAGTTCTTCGGGAAGGTTCTACATGTTGGTTCATAAAGGATTTAATTTCTTCTTGATGTGTTCATCAAGATTCTTTTCTAAGAAACTCAAGCTTTCTTCATATTGTAATCCGGAGTGCATTCTTTCTATCATATTATTGGAGGTGGTATTATGCCATTCTTGATAATTTGAGTTCATGTTTCATGATTCACATGTTGTCAAGGATGAGATATTTTAAATCCTTCATTTTCTTCATTGGAAGTATCTTGGGTTATATTTCACCTAAAGCTTTCCTTTAAGGATTGTCGCTCTTATGGTGTTTATCAATGATCCAAGTTCTTCATTTATCCTCCCGGTGAGATAGCTTCTCGTCTCCTTGTTCTTATCAATCCAATTCTTTTTCCCATGAGTGGCAGGTTGTCACCTCATAATTTGAGATGTATTTCATAAGACCATATCAAGATTATTCTTTTCGTTGTTGGTTTTCCAACAACTCCATTCTAGCATTTGTTGTAAGCGTGCTCCCCCAAGATCTTGTTTCTCGTCGTTCATTCCATTCCATTCTTACTTCTATTCCGGAGGCCTTGCGATGTTGTTATTTTCACCCATCATCTCGTTTTGTCAAAGATCATGTTCTTTTCATGCCTATCCATTTAACTGGAGTGTTGGGCCCTTTTTGCTCAAGTTCTTTTCGCCTTATCAAGTCTTGCATCCCTTCTCAACCGGAGTGCTGCCTGAATTTTGTTCTTCCTTGTTTTTTTTTCGAACAGGGTGCTTTCAACTTCGCTCGTTCTCGTTGCATTCTTTCTTTCAATTTGTTCAACCTCTCAAGGCTCGTGGTTTCACTCGTTTGTCAAAGAAGCAACTTAGTTTTACCTCTTCTCTTTCTCTTTCGTTTTCCCCGGTGCCATCCTAGATCTCGGGACGAGATCCTCTCGTAGTGGTGGAGTGTTGTAACGCTCCAAGACCGGAGCTTCAGATGCCTTCCAGGGTTTCCGGGTTTCGACGTGTGATTTGTTTGATTCGTTGCATCATGTGCATTGCATCATGTCATCATGCCATCATCTCATAAATCTTTTGCATCTCAACTAAATAAATTGTGTGGATCTTCGATCCATTTAAATCGAGGGAAGAGTGACTTCTCTTTATAACATATCCTCCTAATAATTACTGAGCTATTAGTAAATATTCCATTCTTTTGGAATTAACCGTTGACACACTTGCAAATAAATCCCAATGCCTTTGTTATCTCAATTCTTGGTCTCCGACTTGGCCTCATATTCTTTTATCGTTTTATCGAGGCTCTTCCTAAATGTTCAACATTTTTGGAAACTTCGGATTCCTACTCCTTTTCAAATGAGTTGAATTAAATTCAAATACATTTGAATTTAATCTTTCAATCTTGGCCACTTCTATTTTCGCGGAATGAGCACATTTTTGTGAATCTGGGGAAATTATTCCCATGCGCAACTCCTTCCCAAACCCTCTCTTTCTTCTCCTCTCCCTATTTTTTCTTTTCTGTTAAAGTAAATAAGATTTTAAGAGAGAGGGAGAAATAGCAGCAGTACCCTTGGGCCTCACTGTTCAGCCCAGCAGCCTGGGATCTCTTCCTGCGGCCTGTTCAAAAGGCCCGGTTGACCCCCCCTTCTACTGGGCCGGCCCCAAGCCCACCTAACCCTCTAACCCTCTCTCTGCCCGATCCCACTCACCCTCTCCCTCTCGTCCTCGTCCACCGCCGCCAGGGAGAAGCCCCGCGCATCGATCTCTCCCTCATCTCGCTCCTCCCTCGATCCCTCTCCTCCTCTGTTTCCTACTGCCCAGCGCCACCCACACCCGCAACGTGCCCCATCCCCGCACTCCCTCCCGCATCGCCAGGGAGGGGAGTTCCCCAGCAAGCATGAGCCTCGTCGGCCCGCCTCCTTTTTCCTCACAGCGCTGTGGCCTCTCCTCGAGCAGTGGCCGCCCACATCTCGCCGGAGAGACTCCTCCTCGCCGCCTCGATGTGCATCGAAGGTCTGGGCGCCGTGAACGAGTTCCCCCGCGACCAGCGCCGCCGTGGCCATTCCCTCGCCTTCCTCCTCTACGCCACCTGCCCGCCGGCAGGGCCTCGTCCCTACCTCTGGCGCGCCAAGTTCATCATCATCCTCCCCCTTGCTGTTGCTGCTCCTCATAGGTCTTCCTGGTGCCCTCGTCTCTGCTCGCGGGAGGACGAGTGCGACCGCTACTTCGATCTGCGATGCGCGAGACCCCTTGGCCTTGCTGTGATCTGGATATGTCGATACCACCGTTGCCACGTTGATTCCTCTGCCCCGGAGTACCTCAAGTTCGTCTACACGAGGCTGCCAAGTACATCTACGCATAGATATCGCCAAGTACCACGATGATACGAGAACAACTACCATCGACTCGTGCATCTTGCCAAGTTCCATGACGCCGTAAAAGTTTCTTCCTGAACATGTACGACTACAACGTGAACGAGTACCACGACGACCCTCGAAGAGCTCAGATCCGTCAAGTTCCACTACCGCCGATTAGTACGACTACCATCACAAAAACGAGACCGTCAAGACCGGACCGACAAGTGCCCCAACGTCATGTGTACAACGACCGTCGCCGAAGACCCGGGTAGCAAAAAAACATCAAGTACCTATGACCGAAGAATGCCAAGTACCTCTCCGAAAAACGAACATGTACCACTACGTCCGGAAGAGCGGATCCGTCAAGTCCAACAACGAATGTGTACAACTGGCGGCGACCCCGAACAACTACGAAACGAGAACAACTACTTCGACTATCGTCGCGGAACGTCTACTTCTCCTACATCGCATCGAACTCGAACCCCTCCGATAACACACGTTTCGAAGGTATAACCCTGAGACGACCGCCCGTGAATGAATGCATGTGTGATGTATGAGATGCTCGTGTTTGCTCCGTGCTCGAATTGTCGGTGCATGTTGCCCCTCTTTTGCCTTGTCACCATCGTCGACTCATGGGACACCCGGTATCCGGGAGAGCCCCACCATCTTTTGCATGCATCCGCACACTTCTCCTTTGCATCGGTATCTCAATCGAGTTACCGGAACCGGGACATTGCCATGACACCGTTTCGGTATCGTTGCCGTGGAACCCCATTTCCTTTCCACCACGGTGACAAATGCTTCATAATGCTCTTGTCAACTTGTAATATAAATTGCATGAACTTATTCATGTCATCCGCATCATGATAACAACAATTAAAATGTTTAGATTGTTGTTACAATAAATTACTAAGGGATATAGGGATTTACCGGATTCGTTTATCCGACCCTATTTAAATTGTTAGATGGTATAGTTTTGTTATGCTTCACCTCTTGCCATGTTAATCAACATTTAATATTGTTGAGTACCTAACCGGGAGTGAACTAAATAATTGATGTGGTGTTCTGTCAATATGCAACTCGTTGCATATTGAGCTCCACTTAATTTGCAGGATTGCTTGTGCACTTTGCCATGACATGCCTCATTAATCCGGACATGCATCATACTTGATTGTGCATCTTGCCATGTTTATGTGATGGTTGTTTTACTATGTTGTTTGCTCCTTTCCAGTGTTGCTTCTTCGGGTTGGTTCCGATAACGTCGTGTTGTGAGGATTCGTTCGACTACGTCCATTTGTCTTCTTCAGGGACTCGTTCTTCTTCCTTGCGGGATTTCAGGCAAGATGACCATACCCTCGAAATCACTTCTATCTTTGCTTGCTAGTTGCTCGCTCTTTTGCTATGCCTATGCTGCGATACCTACCACTTGCTTAACATGCCTCCTATATTGTTGAACCAAGCCTCTAACCCACCTTGTCCTAGCAAACCGTTGATTGGCTATGTTACCGCTTTGCTCAGCCCCTCTTATAGCGTTGTTAGTTGCAGGTGAAGATTGAAGTTTGTTCCTTGTTGGAACATGGAGATGTTGTTCCTTGTTGGAACAAGTTTACTTGTTGGGATATCACAATATATCTTATTTAATTAATGCATCTATACTTGGTAAAGGGTGGAAGGCTCGGCCTTATGCCCGGTGTTTTGTTCCACTCTTGCCGCCCTAGTTTCCGTCATATCGGTGTTATGTTCCCGGATTTTGCGTTCCTTACGCGGTTGGGTAATAATGGGAACCCCTTGACAGTTCGCCTTGAATAAAACTCCTCCAGCATGGCCCAACATTGGTTTTACCATTCGCCACCTAGCCTTTTCTTTCCCTTGGGTTCTGCAGACTCAAGGGTCATCTTTATTTTAAACCCCCGGGCCAGTGCTCCTCTGAGTGTTGGTCCAAACCGAGCGATGTCCGGAGCTACCAGGGGCAACTCTGGGCTGGCCCACCCGACGTCTGCCTCATCCGGTGTGCCCTGAGAACGAGATATGTGCAGCTCCTATCGAGATTTGTCGGCACATCTGGGTGGCTTTGCTGGTCTTGTTTTACCATTGTCGAAATGTCTTGAAACCGGGATTCCGAGTCTGATCGGGTCTTCCCGCTAGAAGGAATATCCTTCGTTGACCGTGAGAGCTTGTCATGGGCTAAGTTGGGACACCCCTGCAGAGATTTGAACTTTTGAAAGTCATGCCCGCTGTTATCGGAAGATGGGAATTTGTTAATGTCCGGCTGTAGAAAACCTGAAGTTGACCTTAATTAAAATACATCAACCGCGTGTGTAACCGTGATGGTCTCTTCTCGGCGGGGTCCGGGAAGTGAACACGGTGTTGGAGTTATGCTTGACGTAGGTTGTTCTAGGATCACTTCTTGATCATACTTTTATCGACCGTGCTTTGCCTTCTCTTCTCGCTCTCATTTGCGTATGTTAGCCACCATATATGCTAGTCGCTTGCTGCAGCTCCACCTCATACCTTTTTCCTTACCCATAAACTTAAATAGTCTTGATCGTGAGGGTGCGAGATTGCTGAGTCCCCATGACTCACAGATACTTCCAAACCAATTTGCAGGTGCCGATGAGTCCTTGAAGATGACGCAACCAAGCTCAGGAGGAGCTCGATGAAGATCTTGTCCTTTGTGTTGTTTTGTTCTAGTTGATCAGTAGTGGAGCCCAGTTGGGGTCGATCGGGGACCTTGTCACATTTGGGGTTCTTCTTTTATTTTGGTTCCGTAGTCGGACCTTGTGTGTATCTGGTTGATGTAATGCTTTATTCATGTATTTGTGTGAAGTGTTGATTGTAAGACAACTATGTATCTTTTCCTTTATTGTATTACATGGGTTGTTTGCGAAGATTACCTCACTTGCGACATTGCTTTCAATGCGGTTATGCCTCTAAGTCGTGCTTCGACACGTGGGAGATATAGCCGCATCGAGGGCGTTACAGCTGAGTCCCCGTGACTCACAGATACTTCCAAAACCAGCTTGCAGGTGCCGATGAGTCCGTGCAGATGACGCAACCAAGCTCAGGAGGAGCTCGTTGAAGATCTTGTCCTTTGTGTTGTTTCGTGCTAGTTGATCAGTAGTGGAGCCCAGTCGGGACGGTCGGGGATCTGTGTAGCATTTGGGGTAGTCTTCTTTTATTTTTTATCCGTAGTCAGACCTTGATTGTATCTGGTTGATGTAATGCTTTATTCATATAATTGTGTGAAGTGGCGATTGTAAGCCAACTATGTATCTTTTCCCTTATGTATTACATGGGTCGTGTGAAGATTACCTCACTTGCGACATTGCTTTCAACGCGGTTATGCCTCTAAGTCGTGCTTCAATATGTGGGAGATATAGCCGCATCGAGGGCGTTACAAGTTGGTAATCAGAGCCTTCCCCGACCTTAGGAGCCCCACTGCTTGATCGAATTAGCTGACGAGTTGAGCCTAGAAAAATGTTTTGAGTCATTTAGGAATTATATATCGGAGAGTTTAGGAATTTTTTTTACTCCCCAGTCCTTTCGTCGCTCTGTTGAGGCATCCTGACGTAGAGTTTTGACTCTTCTCTTCTCAAATTTCACTAAAAAAAATTTTAGGATCACACAGGTATCTTGGAATCGTTCCGATCGATTTGTGATGAGAACATTGTTCTTGGTGCCTCCCGTCATTTAGGGGTTGTGGCAGTGTTCTGGGGAGTTGAGCTCCGAGGTGTTGTCGTCACAATTTTATCGTTGCAGTACTGGAATACCTGAGTTTAGGTTCGCCGACATCGAAAATCTCTTTTATGCAGTTGTTGGTGAGATAACCTCGACGCCACCCAGTACCGGGGCGGGAGTTTGGGAGTATTGCCATAACTTGTATAACGGATGCTTTTCAAAGGTTGAGGTAGACAATTTCCGAAGGTTTCTTGGTTATGTGTTGAAGGATGGATACAGCTGGATGTGGGATTTGCTAGTTTTGGGTGAGATATTATGCTTCCCCTGTATCCCCAACACCTGATTGCATAACCGGAAAATTTCGCGAGTTTATAAGTGGGAATTCAAGTAGCTCTTAGGATATCTTTCCGACAAATGTATGATACGAAATTGGGGTTCGACGTCTAGTGGTCCGCCTATTCACGGTTGGTTTTACAGTGTTCTCGTTGTGTCTTAAAGAGTCCTTGGCTATGCCGACTCGGGGACGCTTCTTATGTCATGTGCACTGCCTTGTACATGATGGTGCTGTACGATCAAGCCCGTGTAGGCCCCAACACGAAAACTTCGGACGAAATCTCTATCATATGTTTGTTTCGGCTTATTCTGCAAGCCTATCCTTTGTTTTGTTTTGAGTTGTGGTATTCGAGTTGCTTCGAAGTCAAAGGTGGATTCCATACCTTTTCCTAAGCAGTGTTCTCATACCTCGATGTGAACACTAATCCTTCTCAATCATCGAGATTGCCATGACAATCCTTTTTAACCGGTGTACTTCTCTTCAAGTGGATCCGATCATTGCAACATCCGCAAGATCAAGTATCAGTTCTTCTCAACGGTGTTTGTTTCATCCGTCCCCAAGTTGTCTTTGTTTTCCCACCCACCCACCCTGTTTCTCCAAGGACTCAGATTTCTTAATCAAGTATCATTTTATTTATGGAAGTATCTCCATTCTTTTTCCTTCAATGTTCTTATCCGGTGATTCTCATGAAGATTCTAACGGAGCTCCAAGTTCATCATTCTCCATTATTTCCTTCTCCGGTGGATCCAATTCAAGCTTTTGGTGTCGATCATATTCTTTTCTATATTTCAAATGCTTTTCTCGTGCCGGTGCACCTCATAACCATTCATTTCTCGCTATTCATTTGTTCCGGAGTGCTCAAGATATCTCGAAGATTCGTGTTTTCCACTCTGCATTCGTTCAAGATCTTTCCAGGTTGTTATCTCATTCAAGTCATTTAATTCAACTGGTGCAACATCTCTTTTAAATTATTTCAACGGTGTTTCTTTTGAGTGCGTCCTAACCCACAGGTCTT